ATGGTGGGAAGGGGAAACCATCCATGTGATACCAGTACTGTGCGATAGATTCCAGTACGCAAGAACTTTGACTCTTAATTCCAGCACTTCTACCAGAGTGAGTGGGTGAGTGGGCGAGTGTTGGGTGTGTGTGAGAGAGTGTGTGTGTGTGTGTGTGTGTGTGTGTGTGTGTGTGTGTGTGTGTGTGTGTGTGCTTGTGCTCTTTCCAGATCCACTCATCAAGGTGATGTCTCGGCTTGCCGCTTTGCCGCGCGGCCCACGTGTGTAAATGCGGCGCAGCAGATGTGGCGGTGGTGGCGTCACCATTTCGATTTCCATTTCCATGCCCACGTTTAGGTGATTGCCATCAGCTTCGGTGACGTCTCGGTGCAGCACCATGAGTACAGTACAGTATTGTTCTTCGGCTCTCGTATTCTGTCCCTCCACAACACAGCGCGTGGTTCGATTGCAGACAATAGTAGGCGCAGTAGCTGGCGACGCTCCTTTGTGCTGTCTCCATGATGAGATGACGACTCCCATCTGATAAGGCGACACAAAGCGGTGAACGTTGGAACCCACGCGTTGGGGCCTTGGCGCCAGATCCCCCCCAGTCCGCCCAGTCTAGAAAAGTTTCTCAACCAACCGAAAGCCCCCCCTTGCCCCCTGCCCCGAAAAAGGTCCCCAGATAGTTCCGGCTATGCCCTCTGTGCCTCAGTGCCTCTGTGCCTCTGTGCCTCTGTGCTCACCACCACGAGGGTTATCTACTCACTACAAGACGCCTCCACCCTCAATTGTCCCTCGCGGACGCCCTTCTCTTCTCTCCTCCACCTTCCTCCCAGTGTGCCCGTTGTGGTGTGTCGTTCCCAACTCCAACTCCTAACTGCCACTTCTCCCCTGTCCCCTTCCTCAAAAAACACCGGCTCTTCCTCGTTCGACCATCCCCTTCTCTTCCCCGCCTTCACCATCTGCTGAGTGCTAACCTCGGAGTAGTGGATAGCTTCAATTGCGCTGCCGGACGTCTGCCGCTGCCGCTGCCTTTTCGGCCTCTCTCCTTTCGAGCTTCCCCTCCCTCCGCCACTCGTCGCGACTTTCGCTTCGCCCGCAATCCCCCTCCGCAATCGAAGCACCGCACAGCCTCCCTATACGCGTAACCCCATGCCCGAGACTATTTGAGTATTTTGCATAATACCCCTCTCCTCGACTCCTACTTCGATCTCGCCGCTTACCGCATAATCCGCCATGTTCGGCTTCCTAACCTCCAAGTTCCAGCGCCCGGGGGCGACGGAAAACGTCCGTAATCCAGCATGGTACGACCGCCATCTGGGTCCCGTGCTGCTGTGGGTTGCAAAGAAAGCGTGTACACATCCGATCCATACCATTGTGATGATTGCCTGTGTTGCTAGTTATTCCTACCTCGGCGTGCTGGATCAGGGGCTGCTTGATCGGGCTACCGATAAGAGCACTGGGAAGGTGGATTTCACTACGCTCTTGTCTGGGAGTCAGACATTGAGGGTTAGCGAACAGACCGGCTGGAAGTGGGAGGCGGAGACGGTGGAACCCGCATTGGGTGCCAAGGTCGAACCGGTATGTTCGTGCAAATCTGGGTTAGGGAGGGTCCATCTAACATCTTGTAGTCTATCGAAGATCTCGCCCTGATCACTCTGGTATTCTCCGACTCAACCAACATCAACAGCGCCCCGACCGAAGATGCCTTCCCGAGCAACGTATCCACGAGACTGCTACCCAGTTCCTCCAACTCCTTCTCCACCATGTCCTCCGACAGCTCGCTCGCCTTCTCCATCCCCTACCGCGACGCACCGGAATTCCTCGCCTCCATGCAGGAGATTCCAGCCCCTGAAGAAGCGTCGGAGAAGCACAGCTCCGAGAAAGCCGGTACGCGGGAGGAGAAGAAGTGGATCATGAAGGCGGCTAGGAGTGGAAGCTCCCCCGGCGGAATTCGCAACTGGGCAAGGGAGTCCTGGGCTTCGTTTGTTGACTTGCTGAAGGTACGTATTGCCGCCATGTACTTGCCGGGGATCATGGAAGTTAACTTCACGTACAGAATGCTGATACGGGCGATATCATCATAATGGCGCTCGGCTACCTTGCCATGCATCTGACCTTCGTCTCCTTGTTCCTCGCCATGCGCCGCTTGGGATCCAACTTCTGGCTCGCAGCTACCGTTCTGATCCAGTCAGCCTTCGCCTTCGTCCTGGCCTTGCTAGTTACTGTCTACCTTGGCGTTCCCATGAACATGGTTCTCCTGTCCGAGGGACTCCCCTTCCTGGTTGTTATCATTGGTTTCGAAAAGCCCATTGTGCTTACCAAGGCGGTGCTCTCTGCTTCCATGGACGCCCGCAGGAATGCCGAAGGTACCACGGGTGACTCGCTGACGATCCAGAATGCTGTGCAAAAAGCGATCAAGCAAGTCGGATTTGAGATTGTCAGGGACTACTTCTTCGAGATTTCTATCCTCGTTGCCGGAGCCATGTCGGGGATTCAGGGTGGACTCCGCCAGTTCTGCTTCTTGGGAGCCTGGATCCTGCTCTTTGATGCTGTTATGCTGCTCACCTTCTACACCGCGATTCTTACCATCAAGCTGGAGATCAACCGCATCAAGCGCCACATCGCTCTCCGAAGGGCTCTGGAGGACGATGGAGTGAGCCGATCTGTTGCCGAGAATGTCGCCTCCAACAACGACTGGCCAAACTCCGCTGTCGACCCGAAGAAGCGGAGCAACACCACCACGATTTTCGGCAAAACCATCACGGTCCCCAAGTTCAAGCTCCTCATGGTTGTCGGCTTTGTTCTTGTCAATGTGTTGAATCTCGTCACCCTGCGATTCGGTATGCATGGTGCCAAGCCATCACACATCTCCGGTGTTGGTGCATCTCCTCCCCTTGACCCCTTCAAGGTTGCAGGCAATGGCTTGGAAGCCATTTTACGGCAAGCGACGAAGAGCTCGATCCCCACTCAGGTGACTATTTTGACGCCCATTAAGTATGAGCTGGAGTATCCCTCTATCCACTATGGCGAGCACACCGTTGCGGAGGCAGGGACACACCTCGGTGGAAATATCAGCACCCAACTTGTCGACGGCGTTCTCAAGAGCCTGGAAGATCCGTTCCTGAGCAAATGGATCATTGCTGCCCTGGTCATGAGCGTTGTCTTGAACGGCTACCTCTTCAATGCTGCGCGCTGGACCATCAAGGAACCGCACCAGCCTCTGGAACCACCACAACCCTCCGAGGTTCAGGAGGGCGCCCCGCCATCTGCTGCTATCGGTATCCCTCATCAGCATATACCTTCGCCGCCCATCACACCAGGCCCAGAAAAACAAGCTGCCCGTGGGGCCATCCAGCCTGTCTCTAAAGGCGCCCACGAACCGCAACCTGCACAGCCCCAGCGTCCCCCAACGCCGTTGACTGAGGAAGAGCAGAAGGAACCTAATCGACCTATGGAAATCTTGGAGCAGATGCTCAAAGACAAGCAAACCCACAAGATGACCGACGAGGAACTCATTGAACTCTCGGTCCGAGGAAAGATACCTGGATATGCGCTGGAAAAGACGCTCGGCGACAAGACTCGTGCTGTCAAGATTCGCCGCGGACTCGTCTCTCGGACACATGCTACCCGCGAGACCTCGACGCTGCTTGAGAGGTCCAAGCTTCCTTACAAGGATTATAATTATGACCTCGTTCATGGAGCCTGCTGCGAGAATGTCATCGGATATTTGCCTCTCCCTCTCGGTGTCGCGGGTCCGTTGATGGTGGACGGCCAGAACTACTTCATCCCCATGGCGACGACCGAAGGTGTACTGGTGGCAAGTACCTCCCGCGGAGCCAAAGCCATCAACGCCGGCGGCGGTGCCACGACCGTCCTGACCGCCGATGGCATGACGCGCGGCCCCTGCGTAGCATTCCAATCTCTCGCCCGCGCCGGCGCCGCCAAAATCTGGCTCGATTCCGAAGAGGGCCAGCGCATCATGAAGAACGCCTTCAACTCTACCTCACGCTTCGCTCGTCTCCAGACGATGAAGACCGCCATTGCGGGAACCAACTTGTACATCCGATTCAAGACCACGACAGGTGACGCCATGGGCATGAACATGATTTCCAAGGGTGTCGAGCACGCCCTCTCCGTCATGGCGCAAGAAGGCTTCGAAGACATGGACATCATTTCCGTCTCTGGGAACTACTGCACCGACAAGAAAGCTGCCGCCATCAACTGGATAGACGGCCGCGGCAAGGGTATCGTCGCCGAAGCGATCATTCCTGGCCACATTGTCAAGAGTGTACTCAAGACAGATGTGGAGAGTCTCGTGGACCTCAATATCAACAAGAATTTTATTGGATCCGCTATGGCGGGAGCGATGGGCGGGTTCAATGCGCATGCGGCGAACATTGTTGCGGCGGTGTTTTTGGCGACGGGCCAGGATCCAGCTCAGGTGGTGGAGAGCTCGAATTGTATTACGGTCATGAAGAAGTGAGTATCATCATCTCGTCTCACCATTCTCGCCCTCGTTCGTCAGCTAATGATCTCTCTCCTAGTCTCAACGGCAACCTCCAAATCTCCGTCTCGATGCCGTCGATCGAAGTTGGCACCATCGGCGGCGGCACCATTCTCGAACCCCAGTCCGCGATGCTCGACCTCCTTGGCGTCCGCGGCGCACACCCTACCTCCCCAGGCGACAATGCCCGCTTGTTGGCGCGAATCATCGGCGCGGCCGTCCTGGCGGGAGAATTGAGTCTGAACGCTGCGCTCGCGGCTGGGCATCTGGTCAGAGCGCATATGGCGCATAATCGGAGCGCGGTGCCGAGCCGGGCGCCGACGCCCATGGGCGAGGGGAGCAGGACGCCGGCGCCGAATGGCGTGGGCGTGGGTGTCGGTGCGGGTGCGAGCGTGGGGAATGGGCCGTTGCCGAGACGATAGGAGGGATTGGCAATGGTTGAAGAGGCGGAGGAAGTGGAGTGTAAATGAATACGTCTGGGCTTGGGGTTTATGTGCATATTTGTATGTGGGCATTGCATTCCGTCAGCGAGTCTAAGTAGGTTTACTGGGTCTCGTAGGTCTCTTGTTGGTCGATGATGATGATTTCTGCTAAAGGTGGAGAGAGGGAAGCAGTTCAAGAGCGTGGGGAGGCTACGGTGTAATATTGTTTAATGGTCCTGGCTCTTGTTTCCGGAAGGTCAGATAGAAGCCGACAGTCTAGTACATTACACCAACATATGTGGTTGGTACCCCGAGACCTCGACTTCACAGTCCGAGCCGAGGGCCATGATGTAGATGACAAAGGAGCAAAATATATACACATCATTACTGACTGCATCATCATCATCATCTGAATATCCCCGAGGTACAGGCATGCACAAATTTCACATCCCCTTCTTGAAAACCTTCCTTTGTCGCTCTCTGCGCATTTTCTACTCACTCGCCGGCACACTTCATTAAACGCCACGACACACACAAACCACACCGGTTATCCAAATTCCAAGACAAACGAATCGCCGTCTAGCTTTGCCCTACCCATAGAGATATTAGTCCTTATCTTCGACTCCACGCTCCGCCGAAACCATGGACCCGGATTCAACGAAGGACAAAAAGGCCAGCACATCTCCAACCCAATTCGCCAAGGACATGATGATCTAACGATGACGCCCAACAATCCCCAGCAATACCCAAGTCCAAGTTGCAGCAACTAAATAAACAACCTGATCCCCTCACTCCGTATGCCACACCGCGCCCCTCGGCGGCCCCAACCTCCTCCTTCCTTCTGCTCCGACCTTCCCCTTTTCCACATCCCGCTTCGTCCGGCTCGCACCCCGCTGCGCCCAAATCCACACATACACCCCCTCCCCATCCCCATCGCCATCCCCATCCTCCAGCGCCAACAACCCCACCCGTGTCAAAGCCTTCCTCAACGTCTTCACACCCTTCGACGGAGAATCCGGCCTATGATGCGCCGGCCGCGCAAACAAGACCCTCGGCTCGGGACTCCTCCCCTGGAGCTCTCCATACTGATGACATCGTCTCTTGTAAGGAGGTCTCGGCGTAGGCGCCGGATCTCCCTCCCCCTGATCCGCAGCGTCACCCGACGGCGGTCTTCCTCTCCTGCCTCCATTCACCTGCGCGTTCCACAGCCGCAAATCAGGCCGATCCTAACACCCCGGGTGCAGCAGCGGCCTCTCGGCAAACGGCTCCCAGCTCAGCAACGCCTTTTGCCCACCCTCGGCCGTCTTCACGAAACCTGGCGTCAGGGACGGGTGCGGAGGTTTCCCACTGCCGATCCGATGCGGTTGCGGATAGACCCAGGGAACGGTGAATGAATATCGCGGATCCAGGTACCAATTGTACAGGAGGTTGACGTCCCAAGTAAACGCCTGCTGGGCCTCTTTATCGCGGGAATCTCTCTAGAATTCCTGGAGGCCCTTGTATTGCTTCTCGTCACCCGCAATTTTCCTTTCCAAAGCGCGCAGGCGCTTTCGAAAACCAGTGCGGGAGTCGTCAGGGGGTTTAGGTGTCGATGGCTCATCCGAGGAGAGGCCTTCATATGAAGCAAAAATATCTTCGGAACCAGCATCTAATCTCCAGGTTGGTGCGCGAGTTTGAAACTCCTTGGAGAAGTCCTCTGCGGATGCTGCCGGCGCAAAAGCTGGCCGAGTGACTCCCTGCGAAGCTGACTGCGGCTGCGGATACCGACCTGACACTGGTGGTGACAATTGCGGGAATGGGCGCTGTGCGCGTGAGAAACGCCGCTCTGAGCGCTGCTGCGGGAAGTGCTGTTGCGGTAGACGTTGCCGTGGTGGACCCTGGGGTGGGTTCTGCGACTGTGGGCCGCGCTGCTGTGGACGCTGCTCTGGTGGGTGCTGCTGCGGTGTGCGTTGCTGGGTTGGGCGTTGCTGCGATGGGCGCTGTTGTGGTAGGCGTCGCACCAGTTGCTCATGCTGAGAGAGGTGCTGCGACCGTCCCGTGAAGCGTCCCTGATCTTGCTGCTGGCCACGATACACGGCATCGGATAGACTGGGAGGGAGTGGGTGGAGGGCATGCGAAGCTCCTCGCTGTTCGACGAGCCCGGCTCGACCTTGGCCTTCAAGTAGATTCCTAGGTTGCTGACGAGCAGGGTGTAGGGAATCCGTCCGCCGTTGTTCCTGGAAGTGTACCCGGCGCTGTGGTCCATACGAATCTTGAGAGTGGTGTATGCCATTGTGCGGGGGCGGCGGCCGGCCGGAAGGTTGCCGTGGTGGGTGTTGTGGAACTTTCCTCGAGAACTGTGCTTGGGGATAGTGAACTCTTCCATTCTGGAGAGGTACCCGAGGCACTTTTGGAGCCCCTCGTTGATGAGGTTGCTGAGGCGGTCCTTGAAGCCGATGAGGCTCGATGTGATTGTGGTGTTCTCTAGGGAGGTATCGGGAGCTGCTGATGCCTTCAGGTTCTGCTTCATGACGCGGCGGCGTGCCGGCTCCCCCGCGTAATCCTCTCCAATAGACGGCGCTCTCACTAGCTTCCTTGCGCTGGAACTTTCGAAGGATACAGAGTTGCCTGTTGGAAACTAGGCGAGCGATGAGCTTACTGTGAGGGTAGGTTCATGTTAGCAAGTGACTGGCGAGACTTGTACGTTGTACGGTCCATCTCTCTGCTAGTTCGAAGCAGACCGAGGCAACGAAGTCATGACGAACATACCAGACGAGTACCTTTGCAAAGACGTGGTCACAACGACCCGCTATGCGTTTATGAACATGTTTTGCAACAATCCACATGACATGTGCCGTGAATTTGACCTGATTTCTGAACCTAACGCCACGATAATATGGAGGAAACAGAAACGCGGTTGTCCTCGCATACCGCATAATGTGAAGGTCCCTGAGTACGGGCCCAAGGGTCTTGGAGAAATCAAGAACGCAGTCATCATCATTGTTCGCGGAACGCGCGGAGTGTCGAGCGAGGGCATCGGTAAAGATCGTTTCTGTAGAGACTAGCGCAGCAACGAGTGGCGCCGGCTCGAGTATAGAAAGCGTCCGCTCTGGAATGTCGTCTTTGAGAACGCAGGCGATAAGGATGGTATCGTGTTGCGCAGAGGCGGGAATTAGACGCCCCAATCGCTGCCCTGCAGAGTTGTATCCACAGGCGACTTTCGGCGATGCGTTCGACGAGAGGATAGAGGTGGATCTCTGCTCTGGGTCCATGGCTCATGTCGAGCTAGTATGTAGACGCACAGCTTAATAGCAATGTGAACGATGGAAAATATGATGAATCTAGAAAAGAAGTGGGCTCAGCGCCAAAGATGAGGATGTTCATAGGTTTGAGAAGAACTTCCGGGTACGTCAGAGGCGACGGTGCCTGCCGCACTGAAGATATGCGGAAGCAACGATTGGATTGGTGTCTTCAGTCTTCAATGCCGTTAGATTTGAAGCGGAACAGCGGCTCGGACAATGCGGCAGGGCAGGCGCGATGGAGGCGATGAAGCCCTAAAAGAAGGACAGACATGGGAAGCAAAAGGGATCTGGAGGGAGAGCCGCGAAGGGATAGCCAGTGATATAACAATTGCATCTTGAGGCATCCTAGGGTAGTTGGTGCGCGTTTCAGATCACAGCACAGCATGATACACGTGAGCCGGCTGATTCGAGGCAGATGTCGTAGCTGGGCGAACGCCATACCGGTATCAGGACGCCATCAAACGTGTCTGAATGTTCCGGCGGTCCGCTCATCGCCCCTCCTTCCAGCCAATGGGGATAAGGGCGGCGGCAACCTGTGTAGCACCGCGCTCAGTAGCCAGGAGGTTGAATTGAGCGGCCGCATTCCGGGTATCCTGGATCTCCAGTCGTATGCCCAGATCGTTGAGGTAGCGACGCACTTCGGGAGATATAGGAACAACCCGTGGACCAGTTCCAATAATAAGAAGATCTAACATGGACGTCAGAAGAGGGTTCCGTAGCATGAAGCGGGGAGAGAGCACTGTACCGGGCTTTGGCCAGACCAGGTCTAACAGTCCCCAGGCCTCCTTGGGTACATCCCACAGCCGCTTCGCGTTCAATAACCTCCCAGTCAAGGCATCCTCGCCGACTCGGCCCTCAGCAACCGTCCCTTCCTTGCCATCTGCCCGCAGCCATGGCCGCCACCGAAAGGCCTCCCCTCCTACCAAGAACAAGCCGCTTCCATGAATCTTCATATCATTGTTCAAGGCGAATCCGTCTTCTGTGCAATTGTTGATTGCTGTGGCGGGCGGGGCCGTGTTTCGCAGGACGTCGAGCTCGGCAAAGTCCGTCTGAGTATCCTCATTACTCTTTGGGCCGCGATCGGTCGTCTTGGGCGGTGGCATGGAGGCGAATGCTGCGGCAACAGTGGTTCTGGGTGAACATGGATGAGGTCTGGGACGAGGTGGTGAAGAGTGGGACATACGACGGAGAGACGTTCGGCAGGGTTGTTGCACGGAAAAGGCACAAAACACACGTGTGCATACTGAAGATATAGATCGCTCCATTGTTGGCTATACAAGGTGGTCGGCAGAAGTTGATAAACCGTCAAAGTGCGGAAGAAGAATAATGATCGTCTAATAATGGTGATGCCTTGTGGAGCTTGGGCCACATCATCAAAGTGGCGTCGTTGCCAAGCGGTTGACCATAACTCCGTACTTAAAGATGATTTTCCCTGCCAGCTCTCAAACCCAGACTCACTCATCCATCCCATTTCCATATCAATGCCCCCCTAAAAAAAAGGAAAAGAAGGTACATCTCCTGCCTCGACATGCCCCATATGCAAGTATGTGACCCCCTCGCTGGGCTCTCTCTCATTCGACGGCCACCCAATCAGCCCAAGATTCCCAGACCGTAATCAAATTGTAGGCGTCTTCAAATTCCATCTCATCCAAAAGCTCCTTTCATGTTTACTTTATCAATGCCCTTTCATTCGTTTGTTCGTTACTTCGTTTACTTCATTGCATTGTCATGCGAGTTTCATGGTTCGTGCCGTTTTGCGCAGTCATGCTCTATGCTCCAGACCTACAAAAGGGCGTTAGGGAACGCAATGTCACGTCCTGATTACAATGGCAAACTTACTCGGATCCCTCATCTTCGCTGTCAGAGTCGAATGCCGAGGGCAGCATCGAGACGCCGAGGGTCCCCTTGCCTTTGTTAGCCTCGAAGAGGACACCGGGAGTGTCGATGTGCTTCCGAAGCTCTTCCTCCGATTCATCATCCTCGCTGTCCGAGTCGAACGCTGATGGGAGCATTGATGCGCTAAGGGCTGGCTTGCCTTCATTGGCTTCGGCTTTGGCGAAGAAACCTATCGGATTGATGGGCTTCCTGGCTTCTTCCTTGGGAGAGTGCATCTTCTGGGTAAGGAGAGAGATGGTAACAGGCTTCTTGATTGGCGATTTCCCGAATCTGAGGCCCGTGGATTGGGACTGGCCATCTTTCTGTGAGGAGGAAACCGTCGACCAGGAATTGTTCAAGCTGGACTTCGCTCGGCGATGCGGGCGGCGCAGGATCCGACGCGCCTCAGGGTTTCCGACCATGTCAGGCTGGTCGGCTCCTAGATATGTACGCTCGAACAGCGGCGGATTGAAGTCGGGTGTCGTAGGTCGCGGAGCGCACAGGACGGAGGCCTTGAGATCGTCGCTGGACAAATTGCTGACGCGGGAGCAGCTGAACCTGGTCCAGCTCGAGTACATGATGGCTTGACACTGGTGAGGCGACTCCGGGAGAGCAATCCACGACTTTGTGAGCGCCCGGAGCGCGACTTGGTGTTCTTTCGAAGACTTGCGCGTGTGGATGGCTGGTCGCGCCGCAGCTCGCAGTCGGTCGATTTCCTTGGTGAAGTCCGCCGCCGAAGACAAAGTAGTGGAAGATGAGGAGCGAGAAGAAGAAAAGGCCGCCGAACACAAAGTCGTGGAAGATGAGGAGCGTGATGAAGGAGGGGAAGACCGGAGCAACGGAGCCGTGTCAGAGAACGACATTACGACGACGTCCGGGCACGGTCGCTGCGAGAGGTTGAAGATGAGGTTGAGGTTGAGGTTCAGGTTGAGGTTCAGGTTGAGGTTCAGGTTGAGGTCGCAGCGCAAAAGTCTTGTGGAGCGAGGCTCTGACCCTTAGGTCGGGAGTTGGAGAGGGTGCATGGGATAGGGTTGGCTTCGAGGGCCGACCCCACGAAGCGTTTTTTGTATGCCACGGACGCACTCGCGGACAGGGTGAGAGGTGAAAGTGTGGGGACACGTGAAAGTGAGTCTGGTTTACGTGGTTGCTGCTAACTCTAGCGCGCACATGGTGCCTTCTTCTTCACCTTGAACAGGCACCTTCACTGGTGTCCGTGTACTTCTTTGGGCAGCCCCAATGTTCATTCACAAAAGTGCGAGAAGGCGCCACTTTGAGCGTGTGCACACTTTTACAAAGAACAATATATAGAGAGACAAAGCCCAGATCTCTTGGCCTATTGTTCTATTGTGCCCGACAGTCTGTGCGGATACACAATAGCTTGTGCGCTGTTGAGGTCACGGGCCACATGATTAGAGCGGAGCTCCCCAGGGCCGAATATATAACAGTGAAGGAGGTTCACATGAACGGAGAAGCGCACCGCGAACACCTGCGAAGAATTGCGCTTGTATCGCCCGAGTCTCCCTGCCCCAGCTATCACAGTGGTTTCTTCAGCCAGGCCTCGTCTCTGTTTGAAAGTGACAGCGACGTTCTTCAAGAAATCGCCCAATGGAGGTCCCCATGTTCGAAGCTGGGGCTCGTTCTGCGATATCAGCGGCCATCCATCTGGTGACACAGATCGCACTCCTTGGTATTACAAGACCGAACGGATCTTCCTGCGCACGCCGCATCGACACCATGGCGACCGATGGTTGCGAATGGTTGATTATCCAATGGCAACCGTCGCGGACATGGGTAGGCTGGGAACCAAGCTCACATCTGGAAGAGATCAGGAAATGAAGGAGAGGGAAAGGGCATGGATCCACAAGGTTCGCAAGCTCTTGATGGACAATACTGCGGCTTTCCACGTCCGACTGAACATCCGGCTCCAATTCCTCTGTAGGTGGAATTCCCTACCCAGCACAAGCCAACTGGCTACGACTTAATAATGCGACAGGGAGAATTTTCTTTTTAAAAATACTACTATACGTAGAGGCGCGCTACGAAGCTAATTGCAGGACCTCCTATATTGCTGCGCCTACTAGCTGTTTAAATTGGATGTGGAAAACAGCAGTACAGAGGAAGTGCAAGGGGGAGTTCAGTCGGATGTGAACAGAAGCCGTAATAGTGCCTGGTCAGACGGTGATAACTCTGATGCAAGTGCCTACGGCCTCGGTGGGATTTCATCTCTTTCCCCCCTTATCAGCGTGAAGTACACAGTTCCCCTGATAGCATCAACACCCGGATATCTATGCCGTCTACTCAAAGCAAGAATCTTGCCTTTCGACAGCAGAGTGAGGGAGAATAGTTCCACGGCAATGGCCGGAAATCTAGGAGCTACGAAGAGACCATGCGATCGTCGGCCAGCACGCGAGCGAAATAGAAAGCTCGGCGCTTCCAATCAAGACACATGAAGAACTCACCGACATCACAACATTCACAAGCCCCACTGGCGTTTCTGCATCTTGGTATTGCTACCCACTACTATCCATGCTGTGCCAGACTACATATACCCGGCCGGAAGGCAAGCTGAGCAAAAAAGAATAGCCAATCTGCAGACAGCACCCGAGTACCGAAGATGGGACTGTCGGTGAACCATCCCAGCCACGGCGTAATAATATTTTCCGCTCATAAGCCATGATTCGTCATACCAATGCCGGATTCCCAAACTATTGCGCGCCGTCCCAAAGGTGAGCAAGCAACAGCTTTCGCGTCACAAGGGTCCTTTTCCATAAGAGATTAAACAAAAGAAAAGTAAGAAACTAGAAAAAAGAGCCATCAACCAGAAACGTAAGGTCAGGCCATCAACCTAGGAATGCAGAGGAGGGAGGTGGCGTATCTAGAGAAAATCTCCAATAGCATCCATCCGGTTCAGGTCCAACCTGTTCGTCCAACCTGTTCGTCATTCGTAATGGCCAAGGCAATACAATGCTGGTAGACATCAATCATGCAAATGCGGTCTAGCGTGACCAAAAGAGGCACCGATGGCTGAAACTGAAAAGTCACGGCTATTACAGTAGAACAAGTCAGCAAAGTACGCTCTATGCAAGGCTATAGCCATGTGCTTACCAAGAAGCAGACGCTTATCGACGAGGATCACAGGTGTTGCACAGTCGGTTACTCCACTCATCGGTACGGACAACCTGAATATGTCCACATGTGTTTCTGTTATTCACGATGTAACCCATATAACTCTGAGCGTTGGAGGGCACAGCATTGAATGCCTGTTCATCGTCTGAACGACGTGGTCCTCGGGGTGGGACGGGGTTCGGGAAGGGGGCAGTCGCCTCCAAGGGTACTCCAGCACCGACGGAAGAGTTCCAGTTTCGGTTGTGATGACCGCGGGCCCGTTCCTGGCGTGGAGGTCGCCCCTGAAACCTGTTATGGACGACACTCCCGCCAGCCAGAATGGTCGCATAGCCAGACGCTGCAGGGTCCAATGTTGCAAGATGGTCATAGTCGATAGGACCACCATGTGGACGTTGCCCGCCTTGGTGTACACTTGAGTGGTCATCCTCACGATTAACAACACTCTCCAGCAAGTTCGGCGTAAAGTGGCGAGCACCGCGTCCGGTGGAGATTCCAGTCATAGTTGCGGCTAGTTCACTAATCATGTCAAGTTGACCCCGGAATGGTTCGCTCCTTTCTGCGTTACAAAATTCGACATTACCGTTATCAGCAGGACGCTCAGTGGAGGCTTTGCTCGGCGGTGGTGTAGCTGCGGCGGGGCGAGGTGTGGTGTCCCCATTCTCTGGAGTCTCGCATTCCTGCAGTTGCACTGCCTCCCTAGGTAGTTGAGCTCGCTGATGCTTGGAAGGGGAACCACTGCCATCGGCACTGCGATTCTGCCGTGGACGTCTTGGTGACCCATTAGACTTCCGGATCTTTCCATGTTTGGGCCATATTATAGCTCCTCGTTCTAACCATGGTTGGTATGACCCGCAGTCATATGTCGCCCCTGGTGGAACGGTCTGAATAGTATACAGCATATTGTAACAAGGGTTGCCATAGGGATCCCAACCAAAGGGGTCGAAGGATGGCAGAGGTTGGGGGAACTGGCTGTACTCCACCGCTTCGTTCGACGGGGCTACTTGATCTTGAGCTGCAGGATGTCCTTGTGGTATAAACTCCGGCACGTCTGCGCGGAGCCCGGATTTCAGACTCGAAAGCAACGAACTTTCGCCGGGTGTCTTCCTGCGACTATATGGGTCTCCGGCTGTGTCTGCGGTGGAAGATGCCTCTTCGGCTGCTCTGGAATGGCTGGTTTGGTCGCTGTCTTTTGAAATTACGGATGACGTCTCGGCCACAGCTGGATAGGTGGGGGCAGGGCCTGTAGAGGGTATTGAGTGAGCCATCATGCAGGTGATAGATAGTGGACGGATCGGGATCACGAGGAGCATACCCGAGCCGTCTGCCTTCTTCCGACTGAAAATAATTGCCGAATCATTCTGCACCGGATCTCGGTTCGTCGCGGGATCGGCCTTCAGCGTCGCCTCGCTCGCGATGCTGGCAGCTCGGGAGATTTCGCTCCTGGGACCGATCGCCCGGTGTGCCATATTTCCTTCCCCGTCTGCAGCGTTTAGTCGTGTCTTCGAGATTTTGGAGCACATGGCGGGCTGATTCTCAGAGTGGTGCTCACCTCGACCTTTGAAACAAGAGGTCACGGCCTCACGATTTCGCTCGACCGCTTCCATTTCCTCGAGAGGTACGGTGCTGATAGTGTAAGTCTCTCTCAATCTTTCCGTACCTGCTGTAGCGTACGCTGGAGTAAAGTCAGTGCTGGGCAAAGCAGTTCCAGTCGCGGCATCCGTTCGCAGGGCGCTACCATGTGCAAAGGGTGTAATGCAAAAGGATGCTCTTGGAAGTATCGGCGCCATGCCTTCACTGTTTACGGTCCTCGCATGGCCAATCGTTGATAGCCCTGGTGTCTTTTGTGAAGGGACGTAGCAGGCTTTGCCTGAACAAATGACATGCGTACCTTGGGATTCTTGACCCTGAGTATCTTTTTGCACTCGAATAACCACTTCCGGAAGCCCTTTTGTTGGCTTCGGCGGAGTGGGCGGGTTTGCGTCGTCGCGGGGAGTTGATGCAGTGCGGAGATTACGGGGCGATGGTTCTGAAGACCCAGCGGTCGGTTTGTGGTCAGCAGTTACCGGGCTAAAAGATCCCAAGCGCGACGTCGAGGCCTTCTTTGCGATCGCGGTTCCGGGGATAGATGGCAGCTTGATGTGCGGCTCCGACTTGCCTCGACTGTGGAGTCTTGGGCCTTGGGGCGATCTCTCCTGATGATCAAAAGTCAGGTCAAACTCAGGCACATCATCCTGGGGCTCACAGGGAGCAGTATGGAATGAGTGTGCTGAGGCCTGGCTTACCGGTGACTGTCTCGCTGTTTTGTAGCCGCCTACCGAAGAACTCAAGCTGGGCGCATGAGAATGCTTAGCGGTGCCGGCAGAGAGATGGGTCTGGCTAGCGGCGTCGACGTTATGTAGGGAACTTCGCGGGACCCTGGTGGGCGACATGGTGACTCTAATGTTCGAGGTTTGGCCGGCGCTCTGCCGAACTGGCGAAGATGGCTTAGCTTTTGGCAAAGTCTCTGATGGCTGTAGTTTGCTCGGAGTTCGCCTTATCACGAGGGTAGCGGACATTACATCGCTCTCAGCCGCATCCAGTGTCATTTTAGTAAGATGTGTGGAGGTCTCAGGGCTGCGGGGGCTGCCATGATCGATTGAAGAACGCGATCCTCGAACCGTCTTGCGCCCGACATCGGTGGGCAATTCGGGTTGTGACGCCCGCTTCCGAACTTCTCGTTGCATAGCTCGCTGTGCTGTGGCGAGTGAGGGGCCGTGGACCTTTCCGACCCACCGCGTAGGCATTGCCTTGCCCAGGCTATGTGGGCTCGGGCTTCCCATCTCTGTACTTTTCTTCTTGGCTCTGGCGCTTCCCGGCGATGGGGTGGGCTCGTCGTCGACTGGCGTGGGGCGGCCACGCTCCGGTCCAGGAGAGGGCAAAGTATGAGGCCGGCGTCGAGTACTGGGCGACAGAGAGGGAGTATATACGGGAGCAGTACCGTGAGCAGTATCTGATTCAACGTCTATATCTGACTCAGCAGGGCGAACAATCGAAGCGTGCGACGCTTGAGGGCGGATATCACCTGTGTGCAGGCGTGGATTGTCAGAGAGGGATCCGCTAGAGTCGGGACGCTCATTCAAGGTCTCAAAGCGGGTGACAATCTCCTGGACCTTACCATCTTGGTGAGTGAGACTCATTGAGAAGCCGGAGTATGTATCCAAGGGGATGTTGATGTTCAGCTTGTTGTATTCAGACTTATCCAATGCAGGGCTGTCATGAGATGCAAGCTTGCGATACTGGTGAGGGCTGGGGTGCAGAGCAGCACCGGCGACGTCCATGTCGGGCAGGGCCGAGCGTGGAATACGGTTGACAATAGGTGTAAGCTGTTGTGTGGACTGCTTGACGGGACCGGCGGCGACCTGGGCCCAGCTTCTAGACGGCACAGGTTCAGACGGCCTCAGCGTTGACATGATCTGGCTGGGGGCTCGATTGTGTGCGTCGCTCGAGGAGGGCTGCGACGCTGAGCTGGCTTTGTCCGGCCCAGGAGAGCGGCCGTGGGCTTTTGAGCCTGCGGGACCAGATTGCTTGTTGGTGGTGGTGTTGTTCTTGTTGTTGTTGTTGTTGTTGTTGTCGCTCTTGTCTGGACGAGGGCCACTGGGGCGCCAACGGTCGTGTCTACAACGTCGTTAGCTGTCTTGTGAGGCGGAAAAGGATGAGCGACTTGCTTCTGAGGAAGACCGAGGGTCGTTGCCTTGTCGCAGTAGGATAAACGGATAAGCTCGCCGTGTCTGCAGAGGCTGTAGTACGTGTAAGAATATGTACACATGATGGGGTGGCCGCCCGGAAGAGGGCGACGGCCGCCACACAGAGAGGGAAAGGGGCGACTGGTCGCAAAACGGTGGAACAATGTCAAGCGCCCGTGAAGGGAAGTCGCGAATGAACGCCAACGGCAAGTGGATAGGAAAGCGAAGGGGATGGAGGGAGGTGCGGGCGGACGAGGAGGGAGAGGGCGAGGGCGATGGTGAGGGCGAAAGGGTAAGAGAGGCCATCTATCCGTTGTTTACATTGGATTGAAACAAATTTTCTTGGTGAGCAAACGACCTAATGGAGGCAGCCGCGTGTGGGAGGCGCTGGTGAAAGAGCTCTACCCCTGACAACCAAACCCCAAACTGAACGCAGAAATGGCAACGTGAAAGGCAAATGGATTTGAGGGGACAATAATAGGAAATCAGGATCAAAAAGCGTCTACAAGAGGAGAGGAACACCACCTGCTGTGATTGCTGCTAGCCCCGGGCTATCTGCTCTGCCGTCGTTGCCATGTCCTGTACATCGCTCGATACTCAGAACCGCCTCTTCTTCTTATGCGCTTGTTGCCTGGCCAGCTCCTCGTTCCTCCGCTTCAGCTCCCGTCGTCTGCGCTCCGCCTTTTCCTCTGGCGTCTCCTCATGTGCTTGCTCAGCTTCTGGCGAGCTCCTCACCGCCGCCGTGCCTTCACTCACCCCCTCTGCAGCCGAAGATGGTTGCTCAGTGACGGCTTCGCTTCTAGTCGTCTGCTTCGCGGGCGAGGGGCTACTAGAGGGGGTTCGCTCTCTGGCGGCAGACGCCTTTTTCTTACCCCCAATCTTGAACCCTTTTCTCCGTTGACCTGTCGCAGACTGCGTGTCGGCCGTCTCTTCCGTAGCTGGGGTAGCCTCTGGCGCCTTTTCAGCTTCATCGTGACTCGCCGCCATCTTCGCTCTGTGACCACCAATCTTGAATCCACCCCTCTTCCCGGGTGGTGGTTTCGGCGCTTTTGGGAACGGCGACTCTGGCGTAGATTCCCTGGTTGGTTGGCGACCTCGCGTCTGACTTTGGCTCTGGCTCTGGCCTTTGAGTGGCGCATCGAGATCGTCATCTTCCGTCTCGTCGTCTTCAGCATCGTCATCTGCGTCAGGGATCGGTTTCGATTCGTCTCTCCCGACTGCGGGGGTTGGTGTCGGGGGATTGGAGTGCGCTGTTTGTGTGTGACGAAGCTACGGATAGAATTAGCAATGGGATGCGGTTGTCGATGCCGAGCACTACCTTGAAGTTCTCATGGGTCTCAAACTCGTCCTCCGTCTCTGTGTCGTCCTCGTCAGCTGTTGGTGGAGGAGGCGAGCTCAACTTCTTCTGCGTTTTCTTTGCTGGTGCGTCCCTGTGCCTCAATCGCGTATCAAGCGACTTCCACCATATACCGTCCACATCCTCCGAAATCATCTCTGCCGGGACTTTCGGGTTGCACTCTGAAAGCGCTTCCTGGAAAAGAGCCAGGGTGCACACGTGGTCGTCCTTCAATCTTCCCGTCTCTTGCATCCATTTCTCATCGTCCAAGGGGTGCAAAGCTGGTATCTGCCGTGCTGCCAGCTCGCGCTTGACAGCGCGCCTCCCTGCCTTCATCGGTGCAAGGCTTGGGAAGGCCAGTGCCAAGTCGATGTTGCTGGACTCGAGTTGGTCGAGGAAGCGCGTAATCGCCCTGTCCTTCTCGCGTACGGTAGATAACAGTTCGTGGATGCGCTCATGTTGAATGTGTGACGACACCAGCAGCGGTAGAATGAGTTCGTCCTTGAGGATAGCAGAGTTGCGCTTTCGGAGATTGAATGTCCATGTCAGGGAGCCAAGGGGATCAGGGAGTTTGCTGGCGGTATGCAGTACGATTGCATCCGTATCGCCCTTGGTAAGTCGACATGTGGAGCCATCGCTGCTCACCAAGGACTGCTTTACATGTTCGAGAAGGATAGTTAGTTGAGACCTGTCCTGACGACTGACTTCGATTGGCGACTCATGCTCCGACGCTCGTCTCAAAATATCATCCAAGCCAAGCTCTTCACTCCAGATGTTGCTCAAGTCGGTCAGAAATACCGTATATGCATCAGAGCGGAAATTCGGCTTGATGAGCAGCTGTGGCACGGACGAGTCCTGATCGGAATCAGAGACGTGCAAGACTCGCCAGCAAGACATGCTGGAATCCCTCCGGCACAACCCACCTACAGCATACTATGGTGGATGCTCTTACCAACACACGCACGGGTTCCCCGCGTACTGTGGTATTGCGTACCTAGGTATGTCTAAAATTATCCTCATGATGGAACGCGACGCGCCGTGAAGATGAGCCGGCTTATGTAAGCTGCGCCTTTACGTCACCAATCACAAACAACGCGCCAAGCGTCGGCTCTCCCGGGCATGGAGTTCGCATTGTTTTGTCGGACTGGAACATATCACCAATCTTTTACGCACCATTTTTCGGACATGGCATCGCGAAACCCACCTCCGTGGACCGCTGACCAGCGGCTAGGACATCAGCAATCCGTTCCAGCAAAACGGTCTGCCGACTCTCGGTATCAACAAGAACACCGGTCGAAACGGTCCGCCACCGCAACCACCAACCAACAAGAGGAAGCATGGGTCGCCGACGAGGATCGCTTCGTGCTTCAGCAGGCGAAGAAAAAGGCCGCCCTACGAGTAAAGGGAGGGCGCGCAAAGCCGATTGACTGGCTCGCTGTCACGCTTCGCTTCGTCGATCCCACCAAGACGCTCCTTGATGAGGAAGTGGAGGACCACGAACTAGATGTTGTTGATCCTGTCGGTGTGTTTGAGGGACTCGGGGAAGAGGAGTTGTCGGATCTCGAGAAAGACATCGAACAGTACCTTGCCCTCGAAACGAATCGCAGCAACAGGGAATATTGGAGTGTATGCATGTCCTCGGCACCTTCCTTCTCACCCTTGCTGACCTCGTTAGGCTTTAAAACTTGTGTGCAAAGATCGCCGCAGGAAATTCAGAAATTCAAGTGCCGAAGCGCGCGGCACAAGCTCCGTTTCCGCCGATATCGATCGATTGCTTGCACCCAAGTCATACGAGGAACTCGAGAGGCTCGAAGGCCAAGTAAAAAGCAAGCTGGATTCCGACGAACCCATAGATTACGATTATTGGGAACAACTTTTGCGGAATCTCCGTGTCTGGAAGGCGAAGGCAAAGCTTCAGAAAGTCTCTCAGGAAGTGGTCGGCGAACGTCTTCAGACGCTCCGTAAACAGCAGGAGGAGGCCGCTGTTGCCATACAAGAGAAGTTCAAGGCAGCTCTTGGCGATGTCAAGGTGCCCACATCTGTGGAATACGATGCGTCATTAGATCCTGACCCTGCTCTGAGACTGCGACCTGAGGAAAAGGCGCTGGAACTCGTTGACGACAAGGTCTTCCTTGAGAAAATAGCGGAGGGCCGCCGGAAAGTCATCAAATTGGGCTTTGTTCCACCGCACAGAAAGGGACCCGCCAGTGCTTCAACGGCCTCGCAGGCTCACATCAATCGCTCAGCGGACAACGGCTTATCAAGGTTCGCGTCAATCGACAACGAGGACTCCTCGGCTGCTGGGAAGGCTCTATACGAAAGAGAAGTGGCACGTGGAGTGGAAGAAGGCGAAGAGATCTTTACTGGCGAGGAGGAGCTCACGACGGAACGGCCACAATGGGCCAGCCAATACAAGCCTAGGAAGCCGAGGTATTTCAACCGGGTACAAATGGGTTACGAGTGGAATAAGTACAATCAGACCCACTACGATCATGATAATCCCCCACCCAAGGTCGTTCAAGGTTACAAGTTCAACATCTTTTACCCGGATCTGATCGACAAGACCAAGGCGCCGACGTACAAGATCGAACGGGAGAATGGAAGAAAACGCGGGCAGTCCTTTGCACCTGCTGGGGAAGACGATACGTGCTTGATCCGATTCATTGCGGGGCCGCCGTATGAGGACATAGCTTTCCGTATAGTGGATAAAGAGTGGGATTACAGCGCAAAACGCGAGCGTGGCTTCAAGAGCAGCTTTGACAAGGTACGTTCCACACCGCCCGGAGAGATTGTCGATTCTCACACCATGCACACATGCTCTTGTTCCCAGTTTGGGAGGCTAACCATCTGCAGGGCATCCTGCAGCTGCATTTCCAGTTCAAAAAGGTGGGCTCCAATCGATCCTACTTTTGCATGCAGCCAGGCGCTGACCGCCGCAGATATACTATCGGAAGTGATTCCGCTTCTCCAACCCATCCCCTTCCCGCATCAGTCGCATCATGCGTCGGAGTACCGTCTAGACGAGCGCCCACCAAGGACATTGGTGTACCGCCCAGAAGAGACTATTTTTCAATATTAGTTCTCCCGAACACTCGTGGCAACCATTGCACTGCGCCACGGAATCCTGTATCATAGTTCCTTACTGCCTTGCAGCTGACTGGATATCGATGATGAACGCTGAACGCTGGTCGGTGAAAGTTGACAACCAATCAGGAGCTTACATACTTCAGTGGCGTCAAAGTCGAGTGTTCTGACCGGAGTGTAAAGACTGCAAGATTGCGTTACACCGTGAAAAGCATAATTACCAATACGGCAGCCCGCTGCTCCCTGCATGTAGGGAGCATGCAGCTCGTTGGATCTATCGCAAGCGTTTCCTTCCATTACTCCACGGTCTGCTCCTGGGCCGCAACTAGAATGCTCGCGAACCCGCTTGACGGAGCTATTGCGCTTGTTGCCAGTCAAACGCGACCTTCCTTTGGGAATTGGGCCGTGTTCTGCTCTCACGCCAAATCGAGTTGACATCTCTGCCAGTCCGTTGTCTACAGATGGAGGGACGGAAGGAGTTCTAGAAGACATGCATAGAACACGGAGAGAGACAGCGAGAGACATCTGCCCGGACATGTCTGACATCCCAACGGCTGCAGGGTGTGTAGCATAGCATCTGCAGGCTCCCGCCCCATGTCTTCTGAGCCCACTCGTCCCGCAAATCTGTGGCTGATGAGGTAACACACTCAAGTCACGCCTTCTCCCGGACAGGGTCCAGACAATTTCGGTGTGCACCGGCCGACCGAACACCGCCCGGTAGTGGTTTAACGACTTGCTTCTCGGCCCCGTGACACCCATCTTGCCAGGTCCCGCTCCGCCTTCAAGACGTTGTCATGATATCTCTCAGTTTGTTTGCGCCATGCTTCCAGGGCCCGCCGCAGGTGCGCTGTCGGCAGGTTCCCGCACCGTGGTAGCAATGAAGCCTCCCGCCGCCCAATCCCCCATGGGCTGGGCCATAGAAACCCTCAAATGTCTCACTGGCCGCTCCACAAGATCTGAAAAGGGCTGCTGTCATTCGCGCTTCTGGTTCTTCACTATCCGCCTTGTCCTACTGTTGGTGCTGGCAGTGTTCGCAGCCCGATCTCCTACACTGCCTCTTCCCACTACCGAGACCTACCAGAAAGAGACAGCACAATGGCTATGCCACACCCAGAGTCACCCCGCCGGCCGTCCTCAGTCGACGTATCCTGTGGCCTCGATTCTGGCTCCCCATCCAAGGCCTCCTTTTGTACGCTGGTTCCGCTGCTGTCTTCTGCCTCCCCCAAGCCATCCAGCTTACCGCCCACCATGGCGACCGCCCTTTCAGAAACTACCCCTTCAAAAGATCAATCGCACCTTGGCTCTGGGTTCATGGGCCTTGGAGAACCCTCCACACTGCAATGGGCTGAACAGTGTGAGATGGGTGCATCGCAACCCTGTCAAAACGGGAGAGGATATGGTGGCGTGTTTCCAGGACAAGTTGATTACTCTGGGCCTCGTCTCGACTACTCCCCCAACGGACTCCCGTTCTCCAGCAACTACAGTCTCACTTACCCTACGTTTGATCCTAGCTGTCCCCGCTCTTATGCTGGTGGACTTGAGCTCTCAAACGGGATGGACAACATAACCATGGCCGAGTCATATCCGCCCTCCGCGTACGTCATCAATCCTCCCAAGTCGCATGATGACTTGAATATCCAAGACACTGGCACGTCGAACCAGCTACTGCAATTTAATAATGATTTCGAAACACAGTGCGGCGCAAGGTTCAAATCGGAAGCCTGCTATGCTGGTAGTGCGTACGGCTCCGCTCCCGGATCGCGGTGTTCGACCCCTCATGACGACTGTGGTTACATATCTTCGCGGGACGCGAGAGATGAGGATGGTTCGTTTGACAAGGAACAGCCCTATGCGCAGCTGATTTATCGCGCTCTGATGGAGGCGCCAGGGCATACGATGGTTCTGCGGGACATCTACGAGTGGTTCAAGCAGAACACGAATAAAGCTGAAGATAAGGAGACGAAGGGTTGGCAGAACAGTATTCGGCATAACCTGTCTATGAACGGGGTATGTAATTCCTCCTCTCTTCTCCCCATCCCTCAATATGCCCACCTTGTTTTACATGATAGCCGCAATGCACACACACTTTCCATACCTCCTATTCGAGGCGTGACTTCCTCTAACGTTCTCCAGGCCTTCGAGAAAGTTGACCAACCCTGCGATGACACTCGCAAAGGCTACATGTGGAAACTCACCGACGAAGCCATCCGCGAAGGCGTCAAATCCACAACCCGTTACCGCAGCAAGCAGCCCCACAAGCGCGGCCACCGCACGGGTCACAACCCTCTCCCTCAACGCCAGGCCTCCGGAGCGAAAGGCGGTTTGGCATCTCGCAAATCGGCAAAAGCAAGACGGCTGCATCGCGCAGTTACTGATCCGTACTTCAACGGTAATGGTGGTGGTGATGGGAGTGCGGGGGGCAGGATAACAAATTCGGCGACGTCGACTTATGACGGCGCTATCCTTGAGCCGCTCGTTTTCAACGACCCATATCCAAGTCTTTCGTCGCTCTCCTCGTTCCATAACCCCCCTACCCCATCATCGCCGTACTACGGCTCCGACCTCGACCTACCCCAGGATTGCTCCGCGCCTGTTTCACTGGATGGAGGCAGCTCGCACGGTCTAGGCAGTCCCCTGCTGGGACCCGATCTCGATCTCGGCCTGGATTTACCTCTCTCAATGGCTATGCGCGGCAGCAACGGTTGCCATGCATCATTTGGCGGAGCATCGTCTCCAGCGATGAATGCCTTGGTGTATGATGCAGCGTATCTGACGCCACAGGAGCCATCGGCGCCACTCTTTTACGACCTAGACCTCCCAGACAGCAGTGCTTCTCGAGACGCCACTGCGGCCGCATTCTCAAGCTCCCACTCTCCCCAGCAGCAGCAGCAATTGCAACCCCCGCGGCTCCGCCTGCACCCCCACCTGTCAAACCTGGACGTCCTATCCTGCTCCTCGCCCTCCGCATCCAGCCCTTCTGAGCCCCGCACACCAGACGACGTGGATTGCGGCCCAGGGCTAGCTGAAGATTGCTACATAATGGAGATGCGACCCTTGACTGGTGAGACGGGTGGACCGCAGTTTCGCTTCTTTACTGATAGTGGGCCTGTGGCGAGGGTGCATGAATAGGGATGGAGAAAAATGTGGGATTGGTCTATGTGTCCCTTTTCGTGTGAGGGTCGTCAAAACAGTTTATGAATCACATCTTCAATGAATGAAGACGGCTTGGAAAGAGGCAGTACACGGTCGCGGCGCCCTGGTGTTCTATGGACCGTAGATTTCGTCTCTTTCTTTGGTTTGCTTTGTCCGTCTTTTTCTGGTTTGAGTTCCTGCACTGCATATTTTCTCATTTCTTTGCCTCCTTGTTATAGATTTCCTCAGCTCACGATGACAACTACAATTATGATTACGACTACCGACCCTCACGACACATAACGCCCGGCACTCCCATGAGAACTATCATCGGCAACGATATCAGAGCAGCATAGCCATGGCGTTTAATCATTAAGTCATTTCCCTTTGTTGGTGTATATACGAACATCTTGTACAGTAGTATCAGAGCTCCTTGGATATCATGGCATTAGCGGGTACGGACAGGATGGGGGAGATGCTACTGTATACTAATGATGAGATGATTGTGACGCCAATGTTACATGTACTTTTTGTTCTCAATGTCGGAACTAACCTGGGTGATCCCGTCCCTCGTCGCACTTCCGTATCCATAGCGACCTTGCCCTCTCCTAAGGAGAAGGTGCTCCGATGGCGCGCGGACAAAGATCGGCTCTGCACCATTTACGAAGCGACCTCGGATCGAATATCCTCCGATTGATGGAGACGGTAACAACCAGCTCCACGCGAGTCGCTCCAGAATAAAGGTACGCGCATCAATGACGTCCAGCTCTCCACGTTTTGCTTACCCTAACTCCTCCGAGGACTAATGCCCACGCCGTGCGTGCGCACCGCAGAAGCCGTCAAGCACAAAAGAACATGCACGTACCTGTCTCATCGAAGGATCTCAACCATCATCACTTTCGCCCCAGCCTGCCTCAACATGTGGTCAGTACCGGAGCGTTGTGTATCGGCTCATCCCGAGCCTTCTTGCTGGGATTCCGACAACGTGGATTGTACAGTAACTCTAGCCAACACGGAGCGCCATACTTGGCCGTCAATATCAAGCAGACCCACGGCCGTCTCCGGTTCTCGGGCGCCTCGTCAGTGGCCCGTTTCCCCGACCCGCAGGAAGGGATGGAGCGCATGTAAGGTGCAGCCACACGGCATTTGCTTTTGAAAGTGGGTTAGGGTGGGATGAGTGCGGGGAGATGTCAAGACGTCCGAAAGGAAGTCTCGGAGAATGTAGTAGAGATTTTAGGAGGCAAGCAAGGTATATGCACTTTTTGGGAGTTGCAAGTAGTGGTTCTACATTAGCTTTGAGAAGAATCACACCAGTCAATGAACATGTGGGGAAGTTCAGTAGGGATTCACAGGAAGGAAAGCTTCCTTTGATGTGGAACGTGGGCCACGGGCACGTCGTCGAATGCAGATGCAGCACTTATGCAGTCAGATCCTTTGACGCAGGCTGTGGCCACGCCAAGGCTGTTATAAAATGTGCAGATGTGAACGACGGCATGCTTTACGCTAAAAGGCCGCCTCCAGCCTACAGGGCGAAGAGGTGTATACGGGGGCATCGCCGTCGAGAGGAGGACACCGCTGTGAATTCCGGTGTGGTGACTGCCATGTTCTCACTCCTCCAGCTTGTATTAGTCCCGGGCTGATTTTGAGTCGATCGGATGAATGAATACGGTTCTCCCCCGGGGCTGCACTCGTAACGTCCAGGATAGCCCCAAAAGTTTTTCTGAACCGCGCTGGCGGGTAAGTGAATGAGATGTCACTGGGCCATCTCGCTTCTTCATGAACTGACCCAATCTTGCATCACGTCTGCAAATGCGAGCTTCTTGAGTGATCTTTGACGTCGTGGCGCCCAGGGCTTCATGTCCCTCTACGTCCATCTTATAACGAGGTTCCATCTGGTAGGGGAGAGCTCCAGATATATGAGATGCCAGGGCCCTTATGTAGTTCTCCTGAAATATTTGGCGGTGCTTCTCATTGGTCTTGTCGACGACTTCAACCTGCAACTGTACGGAGGTGAAAAGCATAATCATAGGCGCTCTATGCCCATGGAGCAAAGCCACGGATGCATGGAGGCTACACAAGTGCCGCGCGCCACAAATTCATGATACGGACCGGAGAATTTATGCCCAACGGCCCATCATGTCGGTGTGGGAAGCCGTTCGGGCCGTCAGGTATTCGAGACCAGGGGTCTCAATTGAAACAATGTTGTGCTCCGTGAGACGACTTTTCTTATGGCACCGTCAGGAGATGCTCCTGGCCTTGCAATGCTCGACATCGTTGTGAACAAGCTGCGGTCAATGTCAAGCAAGGAAAAGACCCTTCCAACTGCCCAGGGAACACTCTCCGTTGCCATGCACAGCGACTCACATTGGCTGTGACATGCTGCGTATGCACCGTTCAGTGATGTTCACCGGCAGTATCAGAGCAATCTTGCAGCCCAACCGCCCATGTTCCTGAGCCAGCTGTGTGGTACTTGTACCGCCCGTGCCTTTCTGTTGAGCAACGATCCCATCGGTGAGATTCATAAGGCCATTCTGCATAAAACGGCGCTATAATGGGAGCTGTCAGGCTATATGAGGCTGCGAATACGTATCTCCAGGGACGACATAGCCTTGACCAACCTTTCGGCCTCTGCTGATAAGTACACTATGCTCGTCAATTCCATGAGTAGGGGACCGCAACCCGTCAGTGAGGTCCTACCGTTTCCTTGCCCGTTCCCCCACTATGGGTGCGTCCACGGCTGTCAGGTCTGCTTCCCTCAAATCGAGCAGCAAAAGTAACCCAGTTGCACCGTGCCAGCCTGGGGTCGGCCCCGGGTGCATCGCGGATGCGGGAAAGGCGAAGGCGTAACGCAAATCCCCTGCGACATCAAAATGCAGAGGCTGGTCTGGAGACGGGTGCGTCGCACAGCCTATCGTCAAGAGCGCGCTACACGCTTGATGCTTTGAGAGTCCAAGTGCTATAGGTTTGGCTGAGGACCCACAAGTGGGGGACACTGGGACACATATATCTCCTATGCTCGGCGGCTATATCGGAGGAGGGAGTGAGTGATTGGAGAGTCTAACCCTACACTAGAGCTCCAAAAGAAAGATTAGTACAGAAAGTTTACTGCGGTACAATCATGGAATCAGGCCACATGGTTAGGCTGAGGTGAATCAATGCCAGGAAACGAGTTGGCTTTACAGTCTGGCACAAGGGAGACGGGCAAACCGATCATGCGAGTACTGAAGCGAGAGACCATTATCGTAACTAGCCGGGACACGTCCGTGTGGGGGTCAAGAGAGGAAGCACACACTGGCGAAGACCCGACAAATCGGATGCCGCACGGATTTCCCTCATCGGTGAAGTGTTTACGGTGGTACATACTGCCAAAGTCGATTACGTCATGGTCCTTTTTAGAGACTTACTTAGCGGAGCGGAATACAGAGTAGCGGTTTGGGTATCCCGCCCCCTGCTACGCAGCATAATCCCTGAAAATCAAAGTTTAAACAGCCACTGGTAAGGGACGGCAAACGGCCCGTAACGTGGCTTTAAACTTCCCGTGTCAGTCTCCCCACGTAGACTACCGTAAAACTGGCGTTTACAGTATGTTATGGCCGTTTCGCAACAGGCATATATGTCTGCAAGTGTCCCTGCTCCAGCGCGAGAAGTAATGCATGTGGACGAATATGGCTAGTGTCATCAGAAAGCCTGTGTAGCTCTGCACCAGGGTATGCTGTAGGGCGTATAGTGGACGCCTGTGTGACATTCAATGAGCATGTCTCAAAGAGAAGTGCCCTGACACCGGCGTTACACATGGATTCACGACTGCTCGAGCATTTAATAAGCCGCAGAACGGTCGAGTGCGCGATGTGTTAAATCCGGCGTTGAGCTGTTTCCAATTGTTCGCCAATAGTGGAGATGGTAGAGTAGAACGTGCATATACGGTGCCACCGTTGATGCTGAGTGGTGGAGTCTCGCTTGTGCATGACGATGGCGTTTAGGTGTGGATATTATTCTTAGGGCTGGACACTGAAGAGTGGGTGATGAGCGAGAAAACGGAGGTGGGAAAAGTTTGACGAGATTACATACCTGCGTCATTCACCAATGAAGGATCAGATGGATGTCAGCCTGTGTTCAGCAGGGAAAGTGCCCATTGCGTGCAGTGGCGGCCTCGGGGATACCTACGGTGTACGGGTATGTGTTCAATAACATGTGCAGGCATGAGCACCCGTCCTCAAACGTATCTGATCGTTCCGCTGGGCAGAAAGCGAATTGAGGCAATTCGGCACCGCAGTTGCAAAAATCGTCGTATCCATTTGACAGATTCATGATTCGATATCACCCTTGGATGACCTGCAATAACCTGGAATACGCTAGTTTGGATTTGGTATGGTACCCGCCCACTAGCAATCCGTTTCAGATGCTTGTCCTGACCACTTCCCTTGCGTCGTCAGTGTTGAAGTGCATCGTGTACAACATCATTAACAAAAACTGAAGCAAGACCCGCGAGTTACGTGCTTTTTCTCGTTATTACCGTGCAAAAGGTGTCGAATATATACAGGGTGAATACTTCTCAGATGCAACGAGAGCTACTATCGTATGCGTCGTCACAGCTGAGCTCGCTCCATGTATCATGTGACATTACAACTACTAGGTGAAGTCAGTGCAAAGGGCCCTATCGCGAACGGTGGAAAAATTCAAACCTACAGGATTCAATTACTTATAGCGAATGGTGTATTACATGCTAACCAAGCAGTAAGAGTCCCTTCCGCTGCGCCGTGGGGCAAGGCGAGCACATTTTGGTAATGCTCTTGTCTCCCTATACAGAAGTCGCAAAGACTGGGACTTTCGGCTTTTTACATCCCAGATGCGGCAAGCCCCTCGAATCCCAGACTCCTCAAAAGCCCGCGATAGTGATGAAGTCCTCTGAAATGACATGGAGAACCAGTTGTGTGAGCCATGCTCCTCAAGATTGAAAACTTCCACCAGGGAGTCAAAGGGGCCTTCCAACGTAACAACTTGAATAGGTGAAACATGTCCTCAACCAATGTCTGCACCCATCGCCGCGCACAGATCCTAATGCGTGATGACCTTCTTAAGCCGCCAATCTCGTGCGAGCAGCGTACATCAGTTTAGACAGCCCTTTCCTCCTACCCAGTTCCAGCGACGCGTCTGTTGAATTCGATACCAGTTCGGCTAGCCTCTTACGCTCAGCCACAAGGTTCAACACTTGCTTTTCAAGGGATTGACATCGCTCGGTAGAAACGGATAGCTGCTTTGCAAGGCTCTGGCGTTCTCCCTCCAGTGTTGATACCTTCTCTTCCAGAATTCTGAGATCTTTACAGTGTTTCCGATCTTGAAGCTCGCAATAAAGGACGAGAGTTCTGTAGCGGTTCCGGAGTTTCTTTGGATTTTCCAGGTCTTTGAACAATGCCGTCTCGAACTGATCCGCACTGCCCGGTGGGAGTGGATGTTTAACCTCGCAGCTAGCTTCCAGTTCATGACCCTGCTAAGGCTTGATGTTGGGATTCAGCCGGCCACCGAGGCAGACGTTTATCTGGCGGCTAGAATCAATGTCAAAGAGTCCTCTCAGGCTTTCGTAAGCACACTCGACGAGCTTCTGGTTCTGTAGCTCGGAAGTACCAGCCAACGCGTCCAGAACCAGGGAAGGGGCTTTGCTGTCGCACTTTAGGCGCAGGTCGTGTATAAGAGACTTCCCAATTTCGAGCTGTTTAAGAAAGGCGTTCAAGTTCTCTCGCACCTTGTCGCTGTTTGGGAGTCCAGCTAGAAAAGATTGCAGAAAGCAGAGTTGCATTGCCGCCGGGATCGCTTCAAGTATTTCCTCTGAGGCTTGCTTGCATACCGCGTTCTCTGCGTGTTCGGCGACGACGGCGGGCATTGTTTCCGATCGTCGCTGATCACGATGTGATGTCTCGAAAACGCCCTCTCTCTCCGACCCCATTGCGTTTTCAGACTGGCTTCCTGAGCGAGTGCTTTCGTCCTCCCCATGGTTACACCCGAAATCCACGTGTCCGGCTTCGACCGAAGCGCAATGCAATGTCAGAGGAGGGTCTAGAAACGGATTCTCACATTCCTCATCAATATTCCACCAATCGTCGTCCTCTTTGTCACTTAGGCCGGAAACTGGACAGTACTCCTCTGTCAAACAAGGCCATTCCTCGCATTGTCTCCACCCCGCTCGTTCCGCGCTCTTCTTGAACGACAACCTGACGCTTCCCTAGTGGGTCAGGGCATCATCCAGCTTGGAGCCCCGTATAACGTCGCGGATCGTTCGTTTGGGACGCCAGTGGAAGGAATGATCCGGCTGGGCGTGGGAAGTCATGTGGTCGAGGTAAGAACGTTCTCAGTTGCAGGGTGGCGTGAGATGATTATGCGGATGACCAGTGTGGGTTTTGTGGGGAAGTCGATGAAAAGAATAGCGACAGATGAGCGCATAACATGCAAAACAAACAATCGTCGGATCAATTGAGATAGCGATGAGCGAGAGGAGGTTGTGGTGGGGACGAAGAAGAAAGTGAAAGGTACGAAAGAGGAACAGAAGAAATGACGATGACGTGAGTGAGTGAGGTCGAATTAAGTTCAGGCAAATCTCAACAAGGAAGTCGCAGCCTCCGATTTCTTTTTTCGTTTGTTGACAATTTGCGGCAGTTGCCTGAACAGGAAGGGACATTGTTGGAATGCATACGGAGCCCCTCCGATCATTGCTGTACAGGCCTACCTAGGGATGCCGCCAACAAGCCGCCATGATGAGGCGGAGACGCAGCATCGGATCCCAACGATGCAAAGCGTAGACGAACCGAGCCCAAGGGGGCTTGAAGGGATCGCCGATGATTAGTGGGATCAAGGAGGGCTGCCGGTATAACCCGTGCACAGGTGGTTGGTATCTCGTGGAGGGGTACCTTAGGTATATTAGGGCAAGGGTTGTTTTGATATAGGTACAAAGAGTCGGTATTAGTGTAACGACGAAACATGGGAACGAGTGTACCCAGAAGAAGCGCGTCTGGAAGAACATTGGAGAAAATGATTGGAAATGCAAGAGATTGCGGTTACTGGTAGTTTGGGAAGATGGATGGGGTGGAGAATCCGTTAAGAGAACTGGAAACGCTGACAAACGAAAGAGAGTCTCGACAAAAGGACAGAAATGGGTTGTGGCGAGAGAGGTTTGTCCCCTGGTGAAAGTCTGTGCCGGAAAGGAACCAGTGGGATGCATCATCGTGGCGTTCACCAAGGAAATAATGCTATTGTGGATGCATATGTACACAGTATGAACTCCTCCCCCGAGGCTTGTAACCACTCCGCATCCACTTCAATCTTGAGTATGTCATGACTTAGATATAAATATAACAGAAGGGACCACCAAGCGTGTGGCTCGCCTCGCGAATCGACACAGTCGGCACGCCCACGAAACCGAGATCAATCGGATCGTCGAGGGTCGTGTTGCGGCTGGGAGGCTGGTTGTTCACGGTGATGGTGCCCTGGACAGAGTACTGCCTGTTCTTGATATCCAAGTTTTGCCAGGTCCACCAGACGCGGTCAATCATGGCGTGGTGCAGGAAGAAGAAGGGGTCGCCAGGGGAGGCGAAGAGATCACCCCCAGGGTCGCCACCAACGGTGTAATGGCCCGCGGTGTGCACGCCGAGGTAGCCGTTCATGAAATCACCCTGCATCATGGTGGCAAACCAGTAGAAGTTGTCGTGGTCTTTGATGAGGGAGGCGACGTCTGAGTCCTTAGACCAGCCTTGGGAAGCGGCACGGGATACATCGCGCTTGAGACAGCGAGGGTTGTACCCCAGTCCAGTAAACGGCTCTGGGTTGGGAGGATCCGGGAGAACGACAGGGCCGAGGTTGACCTTCCAGCTGTTGAGGAAGTTAGTCACTGAGGTAAAACCATTGGCGGAGCGCACCTACTCTTTGAAAGGTCCAGACTTGATACAGCCTCCTCCGTTTCCAGGGGGGAGGCTCACGCCGCACATGTCCGGTGAAGGAATGCAGGTGTTGTTACGGCCGGCGACATACTCTCCATCACCAGACATGCTGGTATCGGAGCCATCGAGAGCGGGCGACTTGAGAGGATCGTCCGCCCACCTGGCCCAGTTGTAGTAGGGTTGATAGCCCTTGTAGCCACACTCATTGCGGAGGGCCTGCTCATATGCCCAAGTAAAATACCTGTGCCAAGCGAGGAAGTTCCCCTTTCAGAAATTAGCCAAGGTAAACAGACGAAGAAGAGGTGCGTTTATACGTACAGTGCCGTGGATAGACATAGTTTGGTTGATATGGGTAGCGACGAAATCATCGTAACGGTTCTTGGCGCCAGCAGCGAGACCTGCTGGTGTCCTAGCCGGCTTGGATGCCAGGCACTTCACAGCCGCGATGTATTCACGTCTCTCGGATGGGGTGAGAAGCGACCTAGGCATGTGGTGAGCATCAATAAAACCAAAGTACAAGGTGCGGCTGACTCACCACTCTCGACGATACGAAACATTTGCCAATGTGCACTTTTGAGAGTTGGGATATCCGTTTAGGGCGACGTGGAGACCAAGTCTAAAGACACCTTCGGCCGCCAGAGCGTCGGTCTCCAAGAACCCCAACCAGCGCTTTTGAAGGGTGCTACGGGAGTCCAGAGGGGCCGCGCTGGTGCTGCCGATCAGCGCGGCAGTGGCAAGGCTTGTGATCTTCATGGTTGATCGAAGATGGAGATGGAGGGCTGAATCGGCCGTGTATCTTTGCGATTATATCGAGTGAGCGGTTTTCGAGGAGTCCGGTAGCCCGGAAGGATAATAGATTAAAGTGAAACACCAAAGATGAAACTCCAATGGGACAAATTAAAAGCGATAGTATAGGTGAGGACCCGGGAAAGGAATTGACTTGTCCTGGGCTGCCGACGAACGCGAGCTGTGCTCTTACTTCTTATACAGGGTCACTCGTCGAAACTAGGGATTCTCGACTCGTCGCCGCCCACGTGGGAGTTTGTGGCAATCTCGCATTCCCGAAACGCCACGCCGCGCCTTGCAAATTCCAATAGTTCGGTTCAGGCTCACATCTTATTAGGAAGGACGGCCCATCTTGACACTGGTATCAGTAAATCTGGAGAGTTTCAATTGGATGGTTTGGCTGTGTGCAGTACAAAGTTGATCGCGCCGATTCCTTTTGAGGAGTTGGTGCCTCTTGGAAAAGGGTCTGAACCGCGGACCCAAATTGCCGAAGCAAGGTTCTGCATTGTTAAGCCAGGACTGGCGAGCCATGAAGGCGGGAGCGAGCAAGGAAGGACAGAGAACAGAGCCAAACACATGTTAGTTGCACGCTATGTCGGAGAGTTTCCCCAAAACGTGGCTGGTGAATGTTCGAGGGAGGCAGTAGAGCCAATGACAGTCTAGCTTGGCCTTTCTCGAAGAAGGTCTGTTGAGCATTATGCGGCACGCGTTGTGGCACGGCTCGTATTCACCCTCATCCAGGCTCCATCAACACCGGATAGATGGACCCGACAACGCTCCACGAGGGTTGAAGCCAACTGGCGATTCATCAATTCACCTGCCTGATAGACGCGCGCTCAAGAGGCGGGGAATGGACCTGTATTGGCGTGCGCATCCATGCACAATTCCATAACAACAGTGAAAAGAAACACAAAAGAAAAAAATATGTGGAGAGATGCCAATTGAAGCCTCCTTCGAAACTGAATTGCTCCCGAGCTTCTGCAGTGCATTAGGGCAGGGCCATGATAGGCAACCAGTCACGAAGCGCTAAAAAAGCAGAGCTATGGTCAATTGAACAGAGAATCTGCCCAGCGGAGATAGACCTCCATCTGATTAGAGAGGTCACTCAGATATACCTCTTCCCGTTGTGCAGAAAGGCAATAGAAGGGTGAGAAGGGCCGGGACACATGTGACTGGCTCCAGTGTTCAACAAGTCCAGATGGCTTCAGCGGTAATCCGGTGATGGTATTTTTGGATGGACACGGGGATGAAGGGGCTAGGGCGAACATACTTGATACAGACTCGAGACCTCAGACATGGCCAAAGAGGCGGGTCAGAACCGTGCCTTTATATGATACTCTGGAGCAACAGGCACGCTCAGCAGTCCTCGGGTTGAGGTGCTGTGTCCGCCATTCTTCACAATGGTGAAACTGGTGGGAATGGAGATGCCGACGCAGGCCCGAAGAAAAGCCACAGCGGAGGACACTGGAGGTGAGTAGGTAGATGCTGCGTAGTGTGGTGACGACAGAGGCGAAGTCCCAGGAGACGGGGGCGAAGTCCAGGAGCGTCAGCCAAATCCGCCTTCGACTCATGCGACACTTGGCCTAGCCAGAGGGAGACAAGCTGATGCGGTAGACGGGGTCGAAGCCGAAGGGCCGAGCCGAGGACTTGTGGTGGGGAGGTGGAGAAGCAACGAAATAGTGAAGTGTGAAGCACATAACCATGGTACTGTTGAGGGGCGGCATGAAGCACGATTTTGAAGCGCAGACACAGCGTTATTATATCGAAGGCTCGAATTTGTCGGGCCTGTGGGCGCAGAGTGGTGAAGGTCCAAGGGTCGGACGGGTAAATTGGAACGGAAAAGTGCTGTGGAGGATACGGAGTTAGGCCCCTTACTGTGTAAGTGCTGACTGAGCGAGCTGCCCAGGTGGGAATGGCTGGTGCTTCGGGTAGATGCACGTGCGCACACTAGTAGGTACCTACTTTAGATAGATACTTCCCATCAAAGTCCTGAGTCGTGCCCAACCGACAACCGACAACAACAACAACACAACAATCATCAGGCCCATCATCTGTACCAGAGAACCAGTCATCTTTCTTCACTATTGACTTACTGTTGCACTTTCTCGCAGAGAAGAGGTTCAGCAACCCCCCTGTGGATTAGCTATCTAGCCATCCCAAGTGGCCTCAATTGCTCGATGCTGACTGGTCTCCGTCCTTTTACAGCCTAAAGTCTTACTTACTAATTACTACTCTGGGGACAGCAACAGCCTTTCCATATTCGGTCGGCGACCAAAAAGAGCTGGAAAGAAGTTGCCAAGGGAGTCCAAAGCATGGCTATTGCAGATATGTACAAGTCGCACCGTTCACCCATCACCAACGAGCGGGTTTGGCTCCTTCGGTTACCGCACCAGCCTTTCACAGTATTGCGCCACCATATTCCAACAAGCTTCTTCGATTATTGGCGCTTCCATGCTTCGTCAACCCTGGGTGCTGGTGTTGGCGCCTTGCAGGTGGAGACTCGAGGCTCGCCTGTATTGATAGACGGGGGATGTGGTCCTCCTATTACCGCTGCAAACTTTAATTCGTGTGCGATTCCCTTTTCCTCCTAGCCGTCGTCGCTTCGCCACTGCCTCACATGGCCTTTGCTCTCGTTTACGAAAACTTCTTTGCAAAACGTTGCAACGCTGGGTTGTCTTAGTCCCTAGTCTAGACTATGGCGTCTGCAGCTTGAGGAGCTCCAGAAGGACTGGACCCGCCTCAGGAATCGGGGCACACTCCGTCCTGTCGTCAGCCAGCCGTGCGACTTTTGGTGGGAACGCGCAGGAGACGAAAAGAAAGATGCTGTCAAGCGCGCTTTCACGAGTGGGAGAAACGTAATAATACGAGGGGAACTCCGGGACGTTTTCTGCAGTTTCGGAGAGTGGGCCGACAGGTCGAATCTGTGGCTGAGTGCTTCGTCCTTCTCTTGACGCAGGACTGTGTACGGAATACGGAGGACTGAGTAGTGCCAAAAAACCTTGCAGTGGCAGCATTGAGCAAAAGTGGCGGGGAGCAGAGAATTTCGCGGGCTCAGTATGTAGTGCTCACCAGCATGCAAACGGATGCCACGCGTGGTAAAGTTCAAGGCAGGCCATTATTGGAGGTTGCTCCCACAGGCCCAAACACCCAGGTTCGCACGATGAGATCCTGTGACATGGCATGCATTCGTGCACACACATGGCCATATTACCCTGCAAGCCGATTACCCCTTCCGTCAGACTTGCCCGAGTGCGATTTTCAGGACACTGCACTATAAACCCAGGGATCTGCCCGCACATCAACAGGGTAGACATGGCCGGCCGCTTTCCTGTATAAGTCGAATCGATCGCATATCCTCTCGTTGAAGCTCCCCATCGATTTACCGCCGATCCTTATTGCTGAGCGACGCCTGTCGTTCAACGTTTTGCGCGGCCATGTCTCCCTTCAAAACGAGTCTGGGAGAGGCCTTGATGAAGAGACAGGCACCGGGTGTGCCTCCGCCTCCTACGCCTGAAGAGATTGCCTTCACGAACGCACCGGAGATACTCGCCATAACTGGGACGTTCTTTGCATTGGCATCATTCGTGTTCCTGTTGCGTTGCTATGTTCGCCTGGGAATGTTGAAGGTATTTGGCACAGATGACTATGTCATGACCATAGCAATGGTAATACCGATTTCTCCAACATGGCAACCTCGTGCTAAAGCATGGTAGCTTCTGGCGGCAGCAGTGTTTGCTTGCTTCAAGATTGAGACGGACCATGGACTTGGCAAACATTTCATGGTCCTTCTTGGGACGGACCCCGCAGGATATATGCAACTATCCAAAGTTCTCTACGTCCATAGCATCCTGATCATGGTCGCCATCTCCACCGTCAAGATTTCAATCGGCTTCTTTCTGTTGAGGCTGTCGACGAGCAAACCGTTTCACCGCTTCCTGTTCGTCATCATGGTCTTCATCGTTGTCCTGACGATTAGTTGCGCCATGACGCTTATTTTCCAATGCGTGCCGGTGCAGGCCGCTTGGGACATGTCACTTCGACCACCTCCGTTGGGCACCGGCGACGCCAAATGCTATTCGATGGCCGTCTTCCGCAACTTGGGTCTTATGAATAGCTGTATGATGTTCCCCCCCCCTTCCTCTCCCTCTCGTTTGTGGATGGAATCTGACGTGCACCCAGCGTTCAACATCGTCACAGACGTCCTTTTCGCTACGATCCCAGTACCCCTGATTTGGAGGCTTCAGCTGAATCTTCGGACAAAGTTTACGCTTATTGGCATCCTTTCGCTCGGTTTGTTTGCCTGCGTGGCTGCCATTATCAAAGCGGTCCAGCAATGGGACGTACTCAACGATCCGGACTGGACGGTCAAAGACAGCTTCAACATTGTAAGGACCGTTGACGCCGTGTGCGGTTGACCATTCTAACCTGTTCTTGCGCAGTGGAACTATATCGAACTTACAGTGGGCATCATCGCAGCCTCCCTTCCCTCGCTCAAGCCTCTGTTCGTCAGCATTCTCGACACGGCACGCGCCATCACATCTGGGGGACGAACAAAGGCGACGGGATATGGTCACTCGGGATACGGCAAAGGAGCCGGCTCGTTGGGCTACATCAAACAGCCCGACGCCTCGAATCGGAGCATCGCTATGCAGAGTCTCACCAGCAAGGAGGATTCGGGACCGCAGAGCCCTTACAAGGTCCGCATCACCACGCAGCCTACGGGCCTAGCAGATAAGGAGGCTTGGGATATGGTGCACCGAAAAGCCAGCGACGAATCGATGTATCCCCTACAAGCTGAGCAACAGGACCCCCGCGGCATCGTCATGACCAAGGAAGTCCGCGTGAGCCGTTGAGCAGCATTACCTAGTTCTGGACTCATGTCGCCCGGCAACAGAAAGGTCCAATCCGAAATGACGCCTGCTGCGGGAAGAAGTGGATGGCATGTTGTACTTATTTAATTTTTGGCGTTCGTACACGTCCGTGTTCTCAGTTCCTGGCTTATCAGAGATACCCTTCCGCGAAAAGGCCTACTGCTTCTTGTATTATTTTTCCTTTGTGCGAGCTCCGCGATTCTCACGGTCAAGCCGTTTCCGTGTATTTCCCAACACTGCTTCCGACGAATCAATCATGAGCCATGTGGATTACGGACGATTGCCTCCAAGTACAGTACATGGGCCTATTGCTTGACGTTCCACTAAACTTCGGATCCTTCGGCCCAGGGTTGCGTACACAGGGATCAAAAAGACGTCGCAATGCGCACCGTACCCCTGCATCAATACTGCGAAGCATTCTCATGGCCGGTCGTTGGGTGATGTGACCCCTGGGCCATACATACGCTTCGCAAATCTTCCCCGCTCTCCAATATGGAAACGAGAGTGCCAATGATGATAGGTAGGAGGCTTGGACCCCGGCCTCACAGGGTTCGCTCGTCGCTTCTCATGGGCGCGGGGGGGAGTGGGTGCAAGCCCACAAGACGCGCATGGGTTCCTTCTCGTTTTCGCCAACCGTTCTTTGGACGGAGTACCGTACTCGGGACCGACTCGAGCGAAGTCGAGGCAGCCTCTGTTTACCCCAACCCAGCAAGTAGTGAGGGGAATGGGAGGGGAAAAAGGGGAAGTTATTTAGGCGCCAACTGGTCGGACATGGGAGGTTGGAGATTGGTGTTTATGCGGGGTGCAGCATGCAAGCAAGTATGTCTGGTGCCACCTTTGATGCCGGCATGGGTACGCTGTGCGACGAACGACGACTCACTCCAACGAGGGAATTTGTCGTTATTCTACGGAGTACGCGAAGCAAACCGACATAGAAGACAAGGAGGTCTGTCGTTGGCCACCAGAGTTTTTCCGGCAGTCTTTTCATCGACACCATCATCATAGTCTACTCTACGGAGGTGTTGCCAATAAGTTTATTCCGGTGTTCAGGGGTGGCTGCCCTGGGCAACGCATATTCCTTGGCATGCCACGTAGCACAACTTAGTTATATATATACTTAGTTTCCTGTGCAGATTCTTGTGCAAACCTAAGTATCTTGTGAATGTGAATATTCCTTGTTCATCTAAAGCTATTATGCCTCATCCTCCACGCCCAAACTATGAAATTGCCACCCGAGCCCAAGTTGTAGCTCTACGGTGATATGGAGCTCCCTCTTCAAAGGTTGAGGAGCTGACAGGAGTAGGAGAAAGGACTCAAAGAGCTATGGTTAAGAAGGCAAAAGATAGAGGCTTTGATGGCTCACTTCTTCTAAACATTCACGTAGAAGATGGAGCTCGTACGGGTGCTACACACAAAAGGACTCCCTCCTTTGCAAAGGAGCTAGTTGAGAAGGTGCGCAAGGACCGTTACAGCCGTGAAAAGACCCTTGAAATATTGGCCCATGAGCTTACTTTAGAGGGGA